ATAGATTTGTTAAGATTTTGAAATTAATTATAAGCATCCTTCCTGTCAAAAAATGTTGTTTTGAATTCCTAAAAGAAAGCATGATAGCATAGAACTCTGAACATTGGATACTAGAGGAAACCAGAAGGAACTAAAGATTACAATTAAAGGAAAATTTAAATTTGACTTACTAATACAGAATGGAGCAAAATATTTTAACGCTGAACATACTGGAGGATATTTGTAAGGAATGGATCCAGAATTTAATTTTAAACGTATCTGCCATTATAGATGGACTGCTTTTAAAAGATGTCATGGAAGACAATTGTTACCAGACAAAGTTGATCTGAAATTAGATTTAAAAATGACAAGCTACAAGAATGATATGGAAAATGATGTTATACTGGATATACAAAGGAAATCAGATAATGTTTTAATAATTAAAAGGGGTGAACAAATAGCAAAACAAAAGATAACTCAAATAATTTTTCATGTTGGATTTACAAAAGAGATCTAATTTTTTTCCTTAATGAAAAACAGAGTAATTAGTGTATATTTCAGACACAACCCTCTATTTTCTCAGGATGCCTTAAAAAGGTTTGTGTAAGAAATAAACATTTGTGTCTCTTTTTAAAGCTGCTTTACATTTGGTCTTTTACTGTAAGTATTAACATTCCATGAATAGAAAGAAGGCACCAAATCACACTTCATTTATTTGTTTTATTAACACACACACACACACACACACACACACACACACACACACACAATACCAAATTTATATTTTGCTGATAAAGAAATAAAGGGAGACTAGTATAGATCTATTTCAAGCTATTCAGCTCTCATCAGCTAGCCATACCCTTACTCGGATTCGAACTTGGTTTGAGTAAGGGTATGGCTAGCTGATGAGAGCTAAATAGCTTGAAATAGATCTATACTAGTCTCCCATTATTTTTTTATCAGCAAAATATAAATTTGGTATAAAATGGTTTGTCATGAATGCGGCTGCTTGAGGGCTCCTGGATTGGAGCTGAAAGATAAAAGGGAAGCAGTATGTTCCCTCACATATTGGGGTAGACCTGGTGCTTCGATAGAAAAACACTTTATATTTAACACTTTATATAATATTAAATCAAGTATGGTCAACATGCAGTGACACCTCAGGAGTCTCCAATTCTAGCTAGGCCAATGATAAGAGGAAATGGTGTATATATAGTCTAACACTAAAAGTTTGCAAGAGAATATGTACAGTCTTCTTAAGTATAGCTGAAAAGGAGGAACTTTTTAAGTATAGTTGAAAAGAAGGCCGTCAGCGCAAAAATGAACTGGATCCCACCAACCTTGGGGAGGGAACTGATAATTTTCCAAGCACTTAACTGGTTTTACTTGATGTTCCTCCAGTGTTTCCTCTGATACACAAATGCAATGACCTTTGTTATCCGATCATAGTTCCACAGTAGATGTCAGAATACCATAGTGTTGGTTGTATTTGTGTTCAGTTTTAAATGGAGTGGTAGTAGGAAGAGGAGAAGAGGTGGATGAGATAGAAAAAAATGATCTTCCTTATGCCAGGCCAGGAGATCAAACCAGAATACTTTGGGTATGCCTACATATTAAATTTTTGGGGTTTTCAATCATAGGATCGGAATCAACCCTTGCTTTAGATATGCTGATTTTCTGAGCTTGAGCAAGGATGTTCAACCTGCAATATGAATTTTTTTTAATGTTTCTAGAACCCAGTAGACAAATTTATTGGTGATTAGTTTGCCTGACAATATTAAAATACTTCTAAATTAATGGATATCACTTGACAGAATAGATTGGGAAATATATGACCACAATGCCTAAGTGACACAATAAGTATGACATCATGTGATCACACCAGATGTAAGATGTCACTTTTCCCCATTATCATTAAATGAGACATCACAAATGTCCACAATTACAATTTTATTGCTGTCTTCTCCATTGACTCTGTTTGTTGGAAGCCAACTGTGACGCTCACAAATGGTGATCATGTGACTTTGGGATGCTGCAACAGTCATAAATGCCCAGTGATTGCACAGCCCCTGAATGATGATCATATGAGGGATACAGGGATGCTACACCAAGAATTGGTCATAAAATTACTTTTCTAGTAATAGCTTCAAACAGTCATTAAACAGGGCAGTCATTGAATAAGGACTACTTGTACATTTCTGCAATGAATGCTAAGGCTTGCAGGGTGAAAGACTGGAGGTCCCAAATCACCTCTCTCAGAGATTCTCTGATCTTCACATTTGATGCCCCACCTACTTTGGAATTCTTGTTACTATCCCTATCTTCTAGAGGGACATTTTATCTGGTACCCTCACCCTCACCCTAATCCTAGTATCAGTAAGAGGTAGGGTTCCTATTTCATCCTAAGGATTAAAAGTTAAAATACAGAAAACAGAGACAGTGCCACTTCCTAGACATGATGTTACAGATAGATGTGGTAACTAGAGGACAGTCCTTTCTTTCCTGATCTCTTCCCTCATAAGAGATAAACAAAACAAAGCTTTATTATAAAGCAACAAAAAGAAAAAAAATGTAATCCTGCTTTTTTAACTATAAGTATTAACATGCGGACCTTCCTTGTGAAAGGAGATAATTACAAAGCTGCCTAGAACACAGCAGCTTGCAAATTAATTTTTAAGAAATCCAGATTAAAAAATAATATTCTGGACAGTTTATTCTGAGCTAAAAGAGAATAGCCCTCTGCCTGAAATAGTACAGATTATAAAAAGACAATTCAAAATATTACACATCCCAAGACACTTACAAAGAAAGAAATGTAAGTTCATGAACACAGGCTGAGATATACATGAAGATGGAACTCACTCAGTATCAAAACTTGTATAAAAGGTAGAGAAAATAAGACTTAGCCCAACACAGAAAATATAACTAAACTTAGTACATTTTGAATATTTGCCAAGGATATAGAAAACAACATAGGGCTGTTTCAGCAGGTTGATTTTGGTCTGCCTTTAAGCTTGAGTTACCAGATAAGAAAACTGGCCGAAGTTTGTATTTACTTACAGAGAAATTTGAGGGTTTTTTTCCCACTGATGTACCTGCTTTTTTAAAAAAAATCTGTTATTGACTGAATCGGGTTGCTAAATTATCCTGACTACTTTTCTTAGATAAGCATTTAGAGCAGTGTTTTTCAAATTTGGCAATCTTGAAATGTGTGGACTTCAACTGCCAGAATTCTCCAGCCAGCATGGGAATTCTGGCAGCTAAAGTCCTCACATCTTCAAGTTGCCAAGTCTGAAAAACATTGATTTGGAGCCTTATATAGGAAATACGTTGTCAAAGGGCCCAGAATTATTTTTGTGGACAAGGTTGTCTATGTGAAGTACTTACTAATGTCCTGTTTCAAAATGTAAGCATATTCCTTCCCACTCTGAGGTTTACTGGTCTGGGGGGAGCTTTGCACCACAAAACCAATATACATTGAAAGGAAATAGGCTGAAGGAGCACCAAACATTAACTCTTTATTATTATTATTATTAAAAAGTTTTTTATTTTATGAACAAACAGACATACAATATATAATCAATCAGTCAATATATCATCTGAATATATCTTTTTCCATCATACTCCTCCAATAATTATCATATCTTAATATTATCATTTCATTTATTATTACATTTCCCCCTCATTTACTTTTCTATTAAAACATTTATCTATTCAACACTTTTATCCCAACCCAACCTTTATCCCTCCCTCCCCACCCCCCACCCCCGACTTCCCAGAGTGAAAACAGGGTATAACGTTTAACAAGCATAAGCTAAAATATACTAACTACAAGGTTCAAAACTCCCACACACTCTTTAACTCCCCTTACTCAAATTCGTCAACCTCCCTTTTATAAATTCTCAAAATCAGTTGAATTAAATTCATTCTTCCTAAATATAAAAACCTTTTTCTTGATGTGTAATCCAATAATTTAACAATATTACAAACATTAAAAATCATGGATAAGTTTTTACTCTCGTATACCTTTTAAGATACTATAATCTTATATTAAACATTTTAAAAATCTCTTAATACATCAATAAAACATTCTTAATTCATTTCACAAAATATAAATTTCAAAACCTGCAGGAAGATATCCTTCAAATTTTCAATTAACCATTTTAATACCTCCATAACTTTTAAAAAGCAATCGTTTTTATATCCAAAACTAATTGTAAGGGAACACTTCCTTTATATCATTATCTTAAAATAACCTATAAAAATACCAATTTAACATTAACTCTTTTACAAGAACATCATAAACAATAGCATACACTTATTTCTTAAACAATTTGAATCCCTACACTCCAAGTGGCAAAAGCATTTTCACCCTTGAAGTCCTTGGGTTTCAAAGTCACCTCCAGGCATAGGCTGTAAAACTCGCCAGATTTTGTAATTCTTTTTTTGTTTAGTAGCAGTGCATTCTTTCTTAAGTAAATGGCAAACACAAAAGCAAACAAACAACATTTAGTTGAGCACTCATTTAAAGACAGACTGCCAGATAGCGGTTAGTTGCTTTTTGACACCTACTGCATTTTAATGCTTTTGGGCAGATCATCATGTTTTGAAAAGAAACACAGGCAAAGCTGTGATGGTCAGAACATTTTTATTCAATGAAACCAGAGGTGAAATCCAGCAGGTTCTGACAGGTTCTGGAGAACCAGTAGCGGAAATTTTGAGTAGTTTGGAGAACCAGCAAATACCACCTCTGGCTGGCCCCAGAGGGGGGTGGGAATGGAGATTTTGCAATATCCTTCCCCCAGGAGTGGGGTGGGAATGGAGATTTTGCAGTATCCTTGCCCTGCCATGCCCACCAAGCCACATCACACCCACCAAGCCACGCCCACAGAACCGGTAGTAAAAAAATTTGGATTTCACCACTGAATGAAACATATATTAAAGCTTTAGGTCTTGATGTCTGGGCTTTGAGATAGTATGCAAGATAGCAAGAACTGATTGATTCTTTTTTGTTGTTCCAGCGGTTTACCTCTGCAAGAGAACAATGCAAAACAAAGCACGGCTTGAGCTAGCAGACTATGAAGCAGTAAGTATCTGGACCCTTTTCTAGAAGTGAGATTTGGAAATTGGGTCACGAGACTTGGAAATTCTGCCAGAAACAAAAGCAAAGTTCCCTTGAAACAATCCCGGTCTTGGGAAAAAAAAAAAAAGATATTTGGAAGCTTCAACTTGCAGGCAGGCATTGATAATGGAGCTTCAAAAGCACATTGAAAAGAATGACAGAGTCTATGGGATAACATTGTCTTTAAAAAGATTGAAGAGCATCATGGCAAAGATAGAGATCATTTCACTTAAATTGCAGAAGACTTATAGTTGTCCCCATGAAAAGCTCTAAAATGTTCAGAAACATTGGTAACAACCAAGGGTTCCATGTGTATGTGTTACAGAAACCCGCTTTGGCCTATGATGACTCTAACTCAGAAAGCTTCATCGGAGAAAAGCTCAGTCTGAACCCTCTACTTACACTGTTTAAAATGGAGGGTGATTTTCTGTCTTTCCACTGCAAGAATGTAGATTGGGAAGTCAGTGCAATTTTATCAGGCCAACCTGTGTACAGGTTGTATCCTCACTTCAAATAGGGGACAGTGTGTTTTTCTATCCCAAAAGAATGCATTTAGTGCTCAGAGCCTATCTATTTATAGCATGCTGCTGTAGGAGGGGAAAAGTGCATTGATTTGCTATGGAACTGAAGAAAGAGAATTGTTGCATCTTTCTTGGAAGTAGACCACTATGTGAACACACACAACTTTTTTTACATAGCAATTTTTAGAACCAGGTCTGATCTGTGGGAGAGATCTCTGCCTGAGAGCATGGATGTGCAGGATGTATAAACCTGTTGTGACCTAGGCTTCCTGAGTCATTAAAACACACGAGTAGTCCCAAAAACCTCTTTTATTGCAACAGCTGTGAATTACGTTCATTCACAGCTGAGCCCCAATTAGTTGCAAAAAGTCCTTCAGGAGAAGTTCTTCGGGATAATCACCAACCTTTATCTCCCTTGACACTCTACCAAAGACCTACTTGACAAAGCCACACGGATTCCAGAATCAAACAGAGATGCAGACTGGGAACAGAATTAACAATGTTGCTTTCCTGCAAAGTGCCCATGTGCCTTTGCTCCTCTTTTAAGCCTTATGGGAGGGGCCAATCATCTCCAGACCTTACTCCCGAGTCGTCCCTTTTGCCTTAACTGTTCGTGCCTTCTGGCAGCTCTGCGCATGCACGCACTAGAAACAGGCTCCTCCTGTTCCTCTGCCTCTCTGCTGTCTGACTCTGGAAGCTCTGGAGTCTAGGCATCCACTCCCAGATGACCCTGTTCTCTGCCTCTCTGCTGTCTGACTCTGGAAGCTCTGGAGTCTAGGCATCACTCCCAGATGACCCTGGCCCCATCTCTGCCTCTGACACTGAGCCCTCATCTGGGCCTTCCCCAGACTCCAGGACTGGCCCATGTTCCTCCCCAGCCTCTTCACTGTCTAACTCTGCTGCCAACTCCACAGGCTGCTGGCGGACCACAACAAAACCATATTTCCAATAACAAAAGAAAAAAAGTTCCCATCTCATTTAGGACTGGGGAGAGAAGGCAAAATTTGACAGGTACAAAGGAATGCCTGGGGAATATAGGGTCTATGAACTGAAACATTTCAGTGAACAAATTTTATTTCATTTTATTCTATTTTACATATTTGTGTATTAAATTATATTGTATCTTATCCTATAACTATTGTATTTTACTCTACTCTTATTTTAAATTGTTTGTATGGGATTTTATTGGTGATTTGTGTTTGAACCTTGTGTTTTGATATGGCCTATAGGCTAATCAATAAAGCTACTGTATCTAGGAGAGTGAACAAAGACATAGCTTCTTATTTTTAAAATGATGGGTATATCCATCTAGTTTTCTTTACATCGGCACTGAAATGGATGACTGTTGCCTTCTCTCAGGAGGTATCATCACCTCTCCAGTGTAGTCTACAATTGTGAGGTTTTCTGGTGGTCTCCCATCAAAGTACTAACTACAGTATGTCACACCCTGCTTAGGATTCCAGAATCTTGTCACCTACTCAGGCAAGCCTTATTTGGAATTTTGAAATGTCAGAAGAAAATTGCAATGGCTTGGATTTAAATTACATTTATGTAATGAAGATTTCAAATTTTCCAAAGTTCTTCCTACTCAAGAAACTTGCTAATATGTACTGTGTTTTCAGGAAAGCTTGGCCAGGTTGCAACGAGCATTCGCACGGAAGTGGGAATTTATTTTTATGCAAGCAGAAGCACAAGCCAAGTGAGTAGCCACAGACATTTTATTGCTTGATTTGTCATCTGCTGTCTTTTGAGGCATTTCAATTTATCTTTTTTATGTTATTTATTTATCCATCTCATCATCTACAGAGTGGACAAGAAAAGGGACAAGATAGAAAGAAAAATCCTTGATAGCCAGGAGAGAGCATTCTGGGATGTACACCGGCCAGTGGTATGTAAATTAAGACTGTCAGCCCTTACATTCAGAAATGGTTGTGTAGTTAGTGTACAGTTTTGGAGATATATTCTTCCCTCCTTCCCTCCCTCCTCCCTCCCTTCCCTTTCTTCCCTTCCTCTCCCCCTATTGATTGATTATATGACTTAGGTTCAAATTCACAAATGCAGAGATGCTGGCCCCCAAAAGTTCAAAATGGCTGCACTCTCTCCTAGCCATGGCTGCCACCTGCTCCTTGCGCAGGAGCCATGAGTCTAGGAGGACTTCCAGATTGCACCCCAGGTCTCTCTGGGGCAGTGCCTCTCAATTCAAAACTAGGGATGGAAGAATCTTATCTATGGATGGTTCAACTAATGTAAGTTACCACTGGACAAAAAAGTTGAGCTATAAAATCAGTGAAATAAAATTAATTTTTTTTAAAAAAAAAATGAAGAAAGGACACAAACACTCACAAATCACTTGCTGATCCCATAAGGTGCATCATGATATCACATGATTTATTTACCTGCATCAGCTGTCAGCCTGTAAATACTCAGGGGTGGAGTTTGTGCTTTTATAGTTTGTGCTTATGTTTTCATAGTTCTAATGCCCCAGTTCGCCATAGATGCCTAGGAAGATGGGAAATATATGGATTAATGTGGGTGTCATAGGATTAATTTAACACTTAATTAAATTCTCTAAGTAAATACCATCTGCATTCCCAACAGGGAGTGCACTTATTATCTATAAGCTTATTTATAATTATTACATCACTGTTTCCAATTTCTTGGCTTGGAACTTGCAATGTTCACAAAACAAGCATATTGCCCACTTGAATTCTTCTTCAGTTCAATTGTAATCTGAAACAAAAAAGAACTCATTCTTCCAACTGTTCCTGGCAATGTTTGCACAATACTGAGTTAAAGACTAAGTGGTATGCTTAATTTTGAACTTGTTGTTTTATAGCTTAGTTTAGGTAACATTATCACTGCCAGTGAGTGTGGCATTTGCCTTCTGTTTATACACAGTAGTTTGACTTGTCAGCTTTAGTGGGAGTGTAGTTTTCTCCTTGCTAGTTCTTTGATTAGGGTGCTGTTTTCCACTTGGCATTCCACTGTTTACCTGGCATTAATTCCCCTTATTTGGGTATTTGGTCACCCTGGTCAGCACTTCTTTACTCTCCTACCATCGGGCAGGAGATATAGAAGCATAACAGTGGTGGGTTGCCCCTGGTTTGGACCAGTTCACAAGAACTGGTAGTAAAACCGATGGGAGGCTCCGCCCACTGACCCGGACATCATCAAAATTGATTTGCGCATGCACAGAAGAGCAGGCACACACGATGCGAACTGGTAGTAAGGGTAAGTAGAGCCCACCCCTGAAGCATAGCCAGTCAAATGAAGAGGCTGAAAAATAGCTTCTATCCGTGGGCGGTCAGACTTCTGAATGCAACATAACACCATAACTATTTAGTAGGATAGACTTGCAGGGCCAGCACAATGTGCAACATGTCTACACTGGTGCAATATAATATAATGTAATGTTATGCACATATATGTATATAGGATTGTATATAGGTTTTTTTTCTTTCTTTCTTTCACTTATGAGTTATTGAGATGTATTTTGTGTTTGGGGGGCTGCACTAATGGAGGCTCCTCCAATCTCATTGTACACGTGTTGTGCATTGATAATAAAGGTTTGAATTGAATTGAATTGCTGCTGGAGGGGATATGTTCTGGTCTTTTTGTTTCCTCCCTACCTTTTTTGTTATCTCTTTTGAATTGTGTGTAAATAGGGTTTATTTTTGTGTTTCTATTGATGGCTGATTTATCTGAAGGCCAAGATTCCAGGGATTCCTTAGCATTTTTGACTTGGCTTGGTCTAGGATGCTCACACATTCCCAGTTGAAATTGTGGTTGAATCTGTCCATGTGTCATAAGATTAAGAAGTTTTCATCCCATGTTCTGACTGCTAGTTGGTGGGTATGTTATGCTAGTCTACTGCCTGTCTGGCCTACATAGTGGCTGTTATAACCCTTACACCTTATGTTCATTCCTGTTTTTCTTCTTGGGCTGATGGGTCTTTTGACTTAAGATGTTCTGAAGAGATTTGGTTGGTTTGTGATTTAATTGGTTTGGGAATAGACGTATCTTTTTATAGGGTCTCTATTACTGAAGAAATGGCAGGAAGAGGGGAGGGAAAGCTATCTTTTGCCTTTCTCTCTATAACTATTGTTACAACAGCTAGAGAAAAGGAAAGAAAATGCTTCATGCTGTGGCTATGGAACACTACAGCATTAGAAAATTAGGAGTGAGTAAAGGGTTTGAGGAAAACATAAACTGCAAGGGCAGGATTCTTTGTCCTCCCAGCAACATTATCTGAACTGTGACAGGTTCCTGGGTTTTTAAAAATAGCTGGCCTGAGAAATACCAGAACTGTTTGTAATTTTGAGGAAATCCTCTTAGTTATTCAAGCTGTATCCTGAATCATGCATTGGAGAGATGGGATTGTCTTGAATGAACTATATTGCATGACCTCCATGTTTACAAACATGTTTCTTTTATTAGATACTATTTCCAATATCAGCGGACTCTAAAAGAGTCCCTCTGGTTGATGCCAGTCATCCTGTTCTGTATTCATACATAAAACTAACATGCTTATTTAACAGAGTGAGACAGCATCAGTTAAGGAAGATATGCCAATCCTAACAAAATGGAATAGTATAAGTAAAAGATTAAAAAGTGACGGCCTATATATGTTACCTCTCTTTTCAAGTCTTCCATTTTTATAAAAATAACAAGTATGTATGAGAATGACCAGTGACCGTTGTATTCAAGGATATGTGTCTATCTATCTGCATATAATTTTTTGTATGGGTGGGAGGTTATATGTTTCCATGTCAATGTAAGACTTATGAGAGGAAGATATATGTGAATAAGTATGGACATTGTGTCTCTCTGTATGTATAGCCAAACTGGAAGTGGGGGAGGGGTAGATTGTGCTTGTTGCATTGTACAGGTGGACCTCCACAATTGGGACCAGCAATTTGGTTGCATGTATATTTATTTACTATAAAACTTACAACAATGCTAAAGGAAATGCTAACTTAAAATCATATCATATCATATCCAGACTGTGACATTCTCCCACAGAGTGTCTAAATTTGTTTGCCAAACCTTCCCCTGAGCCCCTGACATATAAAGCAGCAATTGCAACAAGAAGATTTAATTAAATTCAATAAAGTAATTACAAATCCATGCTTGTAAAATGAAAAACAGATGCTTTATGGTTACTGATGGGAGCAGTGGATCAATAGCCCTATATTTATTTGCCATTTGATTATAATATTTAATCATGCAATCATGAAGTTAGCAGGGCCCTTTTAGACCTTCAGGTCTAATATTTTCCTCAATGCCAAAAGTTAAATGAAAGATTCTTAATAGAAAGCCTCTACTTGAACACACCCAATGAAGATAAGTTTCTGGGCAATTGGTTCCACTATCAGACTGCTCTTACTGTCAGAATTTTTTAAACCTCTTATTCAGTCGGAATCTATTCTGAATTTAAAAGTAGCTAAAATCCATTTTTCCATGTTTTGGATGTAGAACAATGACTCATCTTTACCTTTTTCTCTGTAATGTCACTTGAGATATGCCAAGAATACTATTGTGTGTCTCATCGGTTTTCTGTTCTCAAGGTTAAATATTCCAGTTCTTTCACTCTCCTCAAATAACTTGATTTCTAGTTTCCTGATTAACTTAATCGATCTTCTCTGAACCTCTTCCGATTAGTCTGAATGCTTCTTAAAGTAGGCTGCTAAAAACTAGGCACAAAACTCAAGTTGGCATCTGATCAATGCAGAATAAAATGGAACTATTATTTCTTGTCCTTTGGAAGCTGTTATATGTCTATGTGTGTCCTAAAATTCCACGTACGTTTCTTGCAGCTAGATCATGCTGCTGACACTTATTTGTTTTGCAGTCAATATTATTCCAAAATTGTTATAAGCACTTCATTACCAAAGTAGGTACCCCAGATGCTACACCTATGCATCTCATTTCTGCATGAAGAGCTTTGCAAGTTTCTTGAATTTCATTCTTTATTTTTACCTATTTCTCTACCCTATGAAGATAATTTTAAATTGTATTTCTGTCTTCTGGGCTGTTTGCGATTTCTTGCTTTTTGTTACCATGCTTACCCACAGGGACAAATTCCATTGCTTGTTTTTCCCCATGGAACGTTGCTTCTTCTGTCATGTTGTAATACTTCCTTTGTCTGTCTGATAAATCTTTATATTCATGACCTGAAGTATGCCCATTTGTTGCTATAGTAATAGTTCTTACTTATTCAAGTACAACTGACACTTTATATTTTCTGCAAACATTTGCCAGAATGTTTCCACACAAGAACATACCATATGGCATGCATAGCTTTGTGATATGTTTTTGTTCTTACCTGAAGTGATAGCCACAGATTCCTTTCCATATGACTTTAGTTTTGCCGGTAGAAGAGAATATATGTGGTTCAGGGTTGAACTACCTATTTGGTAATGAAACATCTGCAAGCAAACAACCAAGCTCAGAGAGCACCAAGGACTCCACAACTTCAGTTTTATGTTATAAAAACCACCAGTAGGAAGTGCCCTACTTCGTCTGGGTTTTTGTTTATTTTTTTGTTCATCTTCTTCTTCCCTTCTTTTTGTTCCCTTCTCAAGTTTTCCACTGAGGGGAAGTTTGAAAGGGATTTCAACTCTTTTGCTGTTGGACCTCTGTTCTCAATTCATTCATCCAGTAAATAAAATGTATTTCTTGTTTTGCCATAGATGAGATAGCTACTTTTAAAGCAAGCATGGAAAAACATTGGGTTTCTATGATATAAGCAGTAATTGATATAGGAATTTTATTTACATTTGGGTGCCATCATGAAGGGTAATTTTATATAGATAAAATTATCTATATAATTTTAAGATGGTATTATGTAATATTGCCTGCTTGCTAGGCTACATGTATGGGGCTAATGGGAAACGAAGTCTAACAACATCTAGAATATTTGTGTGAAGACATCTTGAGTTTATGAGACTATTCACTAGCTGAAACTATTCCAGCAAATTACAGAAGCAAACAAAATATCTTAATTTGGTTGTGGATTAAGAACTGTTCATAATCATTGTGTATACAGGTAGTTCTCAAGTTATGACGACAACTGAGACCAGAATTTCTGTTGTTAAGTATGGGCAGTTGTTAAGCGAATCACACCCAATTTTACTACCTTTTTTTGCCCTGGTTGTTATGTGAATCACTTGCAGTTAAGTTAAAAAAAATGTTTTGTTAAGCAGACCTGGTTTCTGCCATTTTTTTTTTTTAATTTGATTTATATGCCGCCCTTCTCCGGAGACTCAGGGCGGCTTACAATGCGTTAAGCAATAGCCTTCATTCTTTTGTATGTTTTATACAAAGTCAGCTTATTGCCCCCACAAACTGGGTCCTCATTTCACCTACCTTAGAAAGGATGGAAGGCTGAGTCAACCTTGAGCCTTGGAGAGATTCGAACCAGCAGAAATTGCAGGCAGCTGTGTTAATTACAGGGTGCACTAAACCCCTGTACTATCAAGGCCCATTGACTTTGCTTGTCAAAAGTCAACTGGGAAGGTCACAAAGGGCAGTCAAATGAAGCATCCAAATTTTGATCACATGAACATGGACATACTGTGATGGTTGTAAGTGCAAATACTGGTTGTAAGTCATTTTTGCCAGTGCCATTTTGAATGGTCACTAAATGAATAGTTGTAAGTCAAGGACCAATTTTAATGATAGTTATAGACCCGTAATGGTGAACCTATGGCACGCGTGCCAGAAGTGGCACGCAACGCCCTCTCTGTGGGCACGCGAGCTGTTACCCCAGCTCAGTTCTGCCATGCATGCGCGCATGCCTCCCACCAGCCAGCTGGCCTTTGGGTCTCTGTTGTGCATGCGTAGGGGGAGGGGCGCATGTGGGGGTCGCATGTGCATGCGTGGGAGGTGTGGGGGGGTCACATGCACATGCACAGGGTGGCGGGGCACATGAAGGGGGCACACATGTACGGGAGTGGGGCACATGGGGTGGCAGGATGCATGTGGGGGTAATGTGCACATTTCATTTGGGGGATTCAGGCGCGTGCTTTGGGTACTCAGTCCAGGAAACTTTAGCCATCACTGTTATAGACTATTAAAACCCTTTGTTCAATAGAGTCAATTGTAATGTGTATACATTTTTTACAATAACACAGAGGAAAAATGTTGAATTTGAACTTTTTAAAATTCAAATGCTAACGTAAAGCAATCACATGTATCTTCATTATGTTTTTAGCCTGGATGTGTAAATACGACTGAAGTTGATATTAAAAAGTCTTCAAGAATGAGAAATCCTCACAAAACAAGAAAGGTATGTTCTTATCTTTAGTAATTATTATATATAAGCATATTTTGCTTTCCCTTATAGTGAAGAAATCCATTATAATAATTCTGGGTATATACATTGATAGAAAATTCTTTAAAAAATGAAAACAGATTTGGATTTATTCTAGACACAAGTATTTTTTTTTCTCAATGGAATGAATGCTTAGATTTTTTTTATGTTTAGAAAAAATATTCTCCAGCCCTTTGCCAATTCTTCATTCTGATTTAGCAAGCTCAACCCTTTTGCAAATAGCATAAACTACTCTGGATCGTCTCAGTAGGAGCCATCCTGTGCACTTCTTCTGTGACAGCAGATGCAACATTGGTACATGACCTTTCAATAAATGGTTTCTGCACTCATGACTCAACTCTCACCTCTATCCTGTTCATCAAGAACAGACCTATTTAATCATGGATGTCACCATCGTGAACATCTGCTGTAAACTCAGGAATTGCAAGTCCTGATATGGCTAGTAACTGGTTGGTCAGCATTGATATTTCTAGTCATGGTGTTCATGAAATTTTTCTGGCAATAGTAATTATATATCTGAAACAAATATAGCAGGTGTGAGTTCCAGCAATATGGCTACATAACTGCAACAGAGGAACTGGCCCTTGATTTAGTCTCTGAAGGAAAAGTAATCATCCTTTTTAAAACAAAATTAGAAAATGCAATGATATAGAGAGATTCCCAGTCCTGACTACAAAACTATCCAACGTGAGAATGAAAAAGATATTAGAATTAAAACTACATATTTGTTATACTGGATTAGGATTTCACTGTATTGTACATTTTTTGAATGAAATAAAATGGCAATCCAAAATGCAATGTGGTTCAGTTAAAATATTAGTGTTTAAGCCAATAATCAGCTTTGTTACAGTAGGTTATAATGACATTTTGGCTGCTGTATATGTAAAAGAGCGATGCCAAGAATTAGTCACATCTCAAATGTTTGGCATATCCTGAAGATGTGTACAAATAATAGGCCATCACAGCATTTGTAACTTTTTTTAAAAAATAAGCCCACAAGCACAACAGCTGTTTCTGGATCTCTAGATAGATAGAAACAGCCCCACACTAACCATCAACCTCTTCCTTATTGATGTAAGTAATGTTATAAAAGGCACAAAAAAGGAATAAGAAACAGTAAGCCAGACAACTTTAAGATGTGAGATAGGGAAACGGGGTTCCCGTAAATCTGTTAATACCAATACCATCCACTATACCTTTCTAACCCTGCAAACTATACTTCTTTCCCTTACATTCATCTCTTACTTTATGCAAGAGGAATTTATACATTGCTTTTGTTCTTTGAACTTCTACTCTCTTTCTGTCTCAAGACTTCATCCAACTCTGACTTTCTCAGTCTTCCACTTTATTCAATCCATTCACACTATCTTTAAACATTTGTTTATGGTTCTATACACATTCATTCTCTGTATGATCAAACATACTTCTTGATTTTTGATCATTTACATTTTTTGTTCAATTGGAATTCATTTAAGTCTCATTAATTCGTCAACCCATCTCTTGTTGTTTTTCCCCCCCACACCCCATTCAACTTACTTTTATCAATCAATCAAATCTTTATTCATAGACCAACAAATAAAACACTAGAGTGTTCACTTTTCCATTTCATCATTCTACCAATAATTAATGTTAATATAATTCTCACATAGTAGCTCCTTGTAATAGACTTCTTTTTTCCAATAAAGGAGAATGTTTGTAGCTCAAGGTTGAAATGAGGGGTCTCTGAGCTTGGTTGTTTATTTGCAGATGTTTCATTATCCAAACTAGGTAACATCATGAGTGAAAGTGCCCTTGGCCACACTTCTACCAATTACTTCAGCAGAGATGAGAGTACGAGAAGGCCTCAAGTCACCAGCCCCCTTCTTCAGGGGAAGCACAACCCTATTCAGAGTAATGCAGGGCCAATGTTTTTGAATTATCTAGTTCTTTACTGATAAAGAGCAACTCTGTCCAGGGTTTGTTTTGCCTCATCTGATGTGGGCATTTAGGACTTCTAACACTATTTCTGATTTGGTCCAAGGTAGCAATGTACACCTGAATTTCATTCACATATTTTTTATCAGGTCTTCCTGATCTACCAGTTGTGTCCCTTTCTGGACTGGGACTCCTTGCGCCGGTCACTCATGCCCTCGTCACCTCCCATCTGGACTACTGTAATGCTCTCTACATGGGGCTCCCCTTGAAGAGCACCCGGAGGCTCCAACTGGTCCAGAATGCAGCCGCGCGGGTGATTATGGGAACGACTCGACGCTCCCATGTAACACCGCTCCTGCGTGAGCTGCACTGACTCCCGGTGGTCTTCCGGGTGCAATTCAAGGTGTTGGTCACCACCTTTAAAGCGCTCCATGGCTTCGGACCTGGGTACTTACGAGACCACCTTCTGCCACCGATAGCCTCCCATCAACCAGTATGCTCCCACAGAGAGGGACTCCTCAGGGTGCCGTCGGTCAAACAATGTCGATTGGCAACCCCCAGGGGGAGAGCCTTCTCTGTAGGGGCACCTGCCCTCTGGAATGAGCTGCCCCAGGAGATTCGTAGGATTCCCGACCTTCGTACCTTTCGCCGCGCCCTCAAAACACTATTGTTTCACCAAGCAGGGCTGGCCTACTGCTATTTTAATGGGTTGTCTTTATTTTAGCTTTTTCGGCCAAATTATTTAATATTTTTAATTCGTCTTTTAACTTTTATATTGTTGTGGGTTTTATCTCTGGCTGTACACTGCCCTGAGTCCTCTGGGAGAAGGGCGGTATAAAAATTTAATAAAACAAACAAACAAATAAATAAATATTGATAAGACCTCACCCCAGTCTGACATTTGACTTCTTTCAGTGATTTCATGTAGATGTTGAACAATATAGAGAAGAGCTCTGAGCCTTCTGGAACCCCTCATGGCGGTACCCATGGACTTAAATGCTTCGCCTCATGACCACTGATGGAACTGCATAGGGATAGCAAAACTCTGTTGTTGTATTAACATCTCTCTTCTACTTTTATATGCAGTCTGTTTATGGATTACAGAATGATATTCGAAGTCATAGTCCAACACATACACCAGTGCCAGAAACAAAAGCTCCAACAGAAGAGCAATTGTGTCAAGAGGTTTGTGAGACTATATTTATTTGATTTACTCACCCGTGTAACAAAACAAAACGCTGAACTTAATTGCATTCTGAAAAATCAAAATATAAAACACATTATGTATTACTTTAAAGGAATGTCTGGAATATTTTGAAAATGTCAGAACTGAATGAAATGCTCCATTCTGTCAGAATATATGGCAGTCCAGATCCATAATGGCTAACCCCAGAGGGCTCCCAGGCTCTCAGTCTGATGTTGCTCTATGCAGATAGCAGAGGAGTCTTGGCTGAGAGTGTTGGAAGCATAGATGGGAAAACATAGATGGGAGAGAAAAGGAATGTCCATCTGGGAATAGCATTGTTTTCACGGTTTGATTCACAACACACTTAAATATAATACAAGGTGCCATATTTTTACCACCATCACCAGTTGCTTCCATTTCATGCATTTTTCTAAAAACATTAAAGGTTATAATTTTGATCTATTATGTTCTCTAGATTTCAGAGGTTGATAGAGGTAGCTCTCTCTCTCTCTCTCTGTGTGTGTGTGTGTGTGTGTGTGTGTGTGTGTGTGAGTGAGTGTCTGCATGCGCAGGTGCTTGTATGTGTCTTTTAACACAAACACACACAGAGCTCTTTCTCTCATCTATCTACCTGTCTACCTGTCTACCTGTCTGTCTGTCTGTCTGTCTGTCTATCTATCATCTATCATCTATCTTCATCTATCATCATCATTAGCTAGCCAGCTAACATCTAGCTATCTATTGCATTTCAAGAATCAATCCCTAGGAAATAATCCTATTCTCTAATAGATAGCAACAGCTCTTAGGCTTATATACTGCTCCATTGTGCTTTACAGCACTCTCTGGGTGGTTTATAATGTCAGCATATTTTCCCCAACAGTCTGGGATTTTAGCAGCTTCAGAGGGATGGAAGGCTGAGTCAATCTTGAGCCACGTCAGGATCGAACAATCCTGGAATGTAACCACAGTGCCACCAGGGCTCTGTATATAGATACTTCTAGTTCCAATCTGTGCTTCCATCATTTATTTTAGCCTCTCTCATACTTGGCATAGCGGTCCTAACTTCAAGGTAAGTGGCTGGAGAGGACTCTGGATGAGGTGAAACTGCAATTCCTGCCAGCCACAAGGATTCTAGGTGCCCCAATTATTCTCATGGAACAATCCGTAGGCCAATGAACCATACATGTTTGATTGCAAACCCAATATTTCAATAGTTTTCCATGAGCTACAAAGTAATGTGGACTGTTAATCGTATTTTAGGGTATGATCAACTGTACTTAGATACTTGAACTTCTGAGTTATTTTTATGCTCAGACTTGCTTTGAATCCTGATTTTAATAAATATTATGGAACACATCTGTATGTATGACTACAGGGGTAGTGAAAGTGGGGTTGTTCTCTTAGATTGATGATAATCTAATTATTCAAAACGAAACATATTTGTATCATAAATACAGAATAATTACCCAAAACTACATGCATTTTGTATCCTTTTTGTTTTAATGGCTATGGATCTGCAAAAATCCACATCCTTTTAGATTTAATGGCAAAAGTCCTTTCAATATTACTGACCCCGACTGCACTGTTATGAGATCTTTCCTTGAGCCAGATTGTGCTTTCTCTTGACTTAATTTATAAACAGATCAATGCATACGGTCTCATGGTTTAGCATGAGTTCATATAAAATGCTTCATTTTCCTTAGGCCAAATTTATCTCTGTTTACTCCAAACCTTAGACTGCTTTCATCAGTTTTTCTGTTTTTTTGCCCTTTGTAGATAAAATATTGGCAAATGCAGCTAGACAAACACCGGTTAAAAATGTCAAAAGTTGCAGAAAGGTATGTATATTACCATGAATTTGATTAAAGTAAAAAAGCTGCCATTTTCTGTAGTCACGAAAAAAAAATGGGAGGGGAAGGGGAGCAATTATTAAACGAATGATTCCAACATAACTGAAAAAAATGTATTTAATTGGGACCTTCCTTTGTAAAATTCTCAACACTCTTTGTAATAAAAGCATTGTAAAAATGTTAACTGATTGTGTTTTTCTAGTCTATTAACTTACACCGAGCAGTATGTGGAATATGACCCTTTCCTGCAGCCATCTGATCCCTCTAATCCTTGGCTGTCAGATGATGCTACTTTCTGGGAAACAGAAATAAGGTATGTTGGGGGTAAATTTTGTCTTTTTTTTTTTCAAATAAATAACAGATATTCAGCAGCATTAGTTTAAAAAAATCAGATTGCAAGAAAGAAGGAGAAATAATATTTTTCACAATGTTCCGCCGTTAAAGGTTTTCCTTAGTAAAGAACAATCAAGGATTACAGCAGGGACCCAGTTTTTATGTTTCTAAATTCCCTTTTGTCTGTGTTATCAAGCAGTGCTCTCTCCCTAGGATTAGTTGCTAGTGTGAAGCAAGGAAAAAAACACACACAGATAGGCTGGAGGAATTGCACCATGCCGAAAATAGTACAGTTTCCATATAACCACCCGTGTGAATGTGCTAACAACAGAGGCCTAATAATAGTGGAACCAAATACACTAATAGGATTATTTTTTCTTGGCCAAAATGCTGAACTGAACTGATGCTATATAGGAGATTAACATTCTTTGAACTTTAGCATGGAAAAAAAAGCTTTAGTTATCTGCCTGTACCATAGCTGTAGTGCGGTACATATTTACTGCAGTTAAAGAAATATACAGTTGAAGTAGCCCCTTATGTAATTAGGTTACTTTGCATGGCCCACACCCTTCTTCTCCCAATAGCAAGGCAGATACATAGCCAATCGAGCTATTTCAACAAGTCTGAGGGATTGTTGGTTTGTTTGTTTCCTTTCAGCAAAGAGCCACATCAGCAAAGAGTAAAGCGATGGGGTTTTCGCATGGATGAAGCTCTGAAAGACCCGGTGGGAAGAGAACAGTTCCTCAAATTCCTGGAGTCTGAATTTAGTTCAGAGAATTTAAGGTTAGGTTTTCCCTTCACTCATTGATATCTGGGCTGTCTAAGGAAATAGTATAACTGGGATGAATCTGTTATTTCTCCTCAATGTGCTCAGCAGAGCCCACTTTCCCCACCCATGGGAGTTTTTAAATGAGGCAACAGCAGGAGTCCAATTTCACATCTGGCCTAGCTTATACAATCCTTCTGGGAGGACCTGAGTGATGTTTCCACTTCTCTTTTCCTGGTTAGGAGAGTATAACCAGTAAGTAATCTGTCAGAGGGGAATTGTTGAGCCTTCCTGAGAATATGTATTATTTTGCCAGTGATCATTACCATCATGTTAATAATCTCTGCTGCATAATTATTATTTCTTTCTGAAGCTTAGAACAGGAGAAATAAAAGAAGATGTATTTAAGATCAATGTTTCTACCTGCTTTGTGAAGCCAATTTTCTTTCTACTCCCTGTTTAAAAGGAATTTACTCATTCTAGAGAAAAGTTAAGTATAGGGCAGGGGTCAGCAAACTGCGGCTCTGGAGCTGCATGTGGCTCTTTCATCCCTCTGCGGCGGCTCCCTGTCACTCAAAATATATGTTACAACCGCCAATGTGCGACACCCGCCGGCACGCAATTTATTGAGCTTTTCAACACCTGGTAGGCCAACCATGGATAAATCCAAGAAAAGAAAAGTTTCAGAAGAAAACAGAATGTTTAATTCAACTACATATGCTAGTTTTGTGGCCGCTCAAGAAATAGTCAGGCACAGGAAGGTTTTTATGGCTCCCGGTGTTTTCTTTTCTTTTCTTTTCTTTTTTGGTAATTTTATTTTTAAGACAAGCAAACATTTAATACATCAATCCTCCCTTCCCTGTGACGCCTTGGTGTTCTTTTCTGTTTTACTTTCATTCCTATAATATTTCTTGTGGCTTGGGTTCTTTGTTATCTTTTGGTAATGCTTCTTGCAATGTCATGTCTTTTTCAAGATAAATTTATCTTCCTCTGCCCTTTTGTCCTTAGGTTATTGTCTATTTTCTAATTGTTCCTTGTCCTCTAGGCATGACAGCTCTTTATCCAAATCCAAAACAGCATATTTATTGAAAAATAAGAAGATGCATGACTCACTTGCCATTTCTTTGTGCAGCAACAATTCCTCTATTTTGAGTTGTTTGCAGCATCTGTTGTTCATCTGAGACTCAGACCTCTTCTTCTGATGCTTCTTTGACTTGTTCTTACTCTTGGCCTCAGCTTTGTTGTTATTTTTCATTATTATTTGCATTGTCCATTTTCATTCCAATATGTGATTACCGCCTATGTAACTCATAGGAGAAAGAACATAGAACAATAGAATTGGGAGGGACCTTGGAGGTCTTCTAGTCCACACCCTATGCTTGGGCAGGAGACCCTATATCATTTCAGTTAAATGATTGTCCAATCTCTTGTTGAAAGCCTCCAGTGATGGAGCATCCACAACTTCTGAAGGCAAGTTGTTCCATTGATTGCTCTCACTGTTAGGAAATGTCTTCTTAGTTCTAGGTTTCTTTTCTCCTTGATTAGTTTCCATCAACTGCTACTCGACTTGCTTTTTGGTACTTTGAAAAATAGTCTGACCCCCTTGTCTTTGTAGGAGCCTTTCAAATATTGGAACTCTGCTATTATGTCTCCCCAGTCCTTCTTTTCATTAGACTAGACATACCCAATTCCTGTAACTGTTCTTTGTATGTTTTAGTCTCCAGCCCCTAATCATTCTTGTTTGCTCTTCTCTGCAGAAAAATAAATAAACATTGATTCTCTTGCCACAATATGCTCTGAAATCAGGCAGGCATGGCAAAAACCATAGGAAGCTTAGAAGTGGTACCCTTAAGTATCTGTTTCCTGTCTTCCTTCTTTCTTATAATTTTGATGGATGCTGGGTACAGGTTCATATATGATGAAATGCAGCTCCCATATCTTCACTGTTATCTTACAATGTCTTTAACCATAAATGTTAGGACTCAATTCCATTGCATGAACGATCACTACTGCTGAATTTTTCTTGGTATCATTTTTTGTTAGGCATGAATTTTATTTATAGGTAGGTATCTATTTCTTAAAATGTAAAATCAAAAAAGGCAAAACCTGTCCCACACACCTGATAATTTCTCTTAGCACAGCATTGCTGAAACCATAGATGGTGTTTGTAGCCTTCTTGCCTTCCCGACTGGGAGTACCATAAATTGTGATCTTATTGAAAGGCCAGCTGGATGAAGATGCAAGAGATCTTTCGCTTGATGAATACTCCATGTTAGAATGGCTAACTGGAGAGTCAAAGAGAGAGCAGAGGCCTCCACTGAATATTGTTACTGACATATCCTTGTGAGCTGAGGAGGTTATTTAAGGTTGATTACATGAAAGAAATTGTTCTTTGGTGTGAACTATCCTGTTACATACTTTAAATAGATATTTAAATATTGACTTGTTTATACTGTGATTTTCTGCACAGTTTTCTGCACAAGAGTAATTATATTCTTCTAAACCAAACTGTCAGTTACTTGATCCAAAGAATTTTAATCCAGTGACATATTCCTTACAGTCAGTGCATTGGCTTAGTGCAGGGTTCAGCAACCCGTGGCTCTGGAGCCGCATGTGGCTCTTTCATCCCTCTGCTGCAGCTCCCTGTTGCTGGTTGGCTCCACAATTGATAGGGCTTTTGGTTAGGACAGGCAGAGGAAAAAGGACGCCGTGCTAGGAGGAGACTCTATGGTGTGGGAACCAGACTTCTGGTCGGCTCTAGAATTGAGCGGGGGCTTCCAGTTAAGACCTTTGTAACTCTTTGAGTGTTTAAGGTTGCCGACCCCTGGTTTGGTGGAATAAGCAAGAGGGCAAGCTTTATTTTTCATTGCTTCTTCTACTCTCCGAAGTGTTGAAGATTATTTGGACGGGGTGGGCAACCATGACCTGTGGACTTCAATTCCCAGAATTCCTGAGCCAGTTATGAGGTCCACAGGTCATAAAGTTGCCATAGTTGCTCACTTTTGGGTTAGAGTGTTAAAGGTATAAATCCAGGCACATTGATTCTTAGCACTTGATGTCCTACTAACCACAGATAGTCAAGGATTTAATTCTTCTTCCTCCCCCTCCCCCTCCTTTCCTCCTCGTCCTCGTTATCATCGTCCTCCTCCTCCTTCATCTTCTTCCCACAAGTGCAGGGTCTGCTTTTTTCAGATCAGCCCTAAGGTTGCAACAGGAATTAGCCAACTGGCTTGTCAACTAAGCCTGACATCAAGAGAAAGTATGACTGCCATTATCCCAATGGCTTTTGTGCATAAGGCAGGACTAGAATGCATAGTTTCCTGGTTTCTAGCCTGGTGCTTTAACCACTACATCAAACTGGATCTCATCTTACATGTAGAATGTAGGGTGTACTGATCTAGAGATTAAAATGACATCTACCACAGAAGACTGCAAAAGACCAAAGGGATGATGAAAATTGAGCACACTGCCTTCCATGAGTAGAGATATTCAACAAGGAAAGAAGGCAAACCCATCTCTAGATAGAATCTACTTGTTCCCATCTGACTCTATGTTTCATATATCTTTTCTTGGCCTATCAAATTAGAATCCTAAAGAAAACTCTTTAGAGAGGATTTTTTTCAAATCAAACACAGTATCTCTCTTATATTGATATATTCTATGTTTAAGTGTTGATTAACTGTGGATTTAATTAAAACCATGGCTATTTATAATGCCACAATGATTATAATACTATAATTTATCCATTTTTATACTACATATTGTCATGTCTCTTAGTTTTAAAGTATGATTATAGATTACTGAAAGGAGTCACTGAATACAAAATGAGCCAATGTTGCTCATATCTATAGTTCCCATATCTATAACCATAGCACTGATAGATTCTGGTGTTTTGGTCAAAACCAACATGTGCCACCATGATGCACATATAAAAGGGGCAGAGCTTTAATCACAACAATGCAGCTTTTTTTTAATCATTTGTCCATTTCTCTTGAATTGTCTCTGTCCACAAGATATGCCTAATAAATAAAATAACAGTGCCTTAAATACAGTTGCCCTGACATTGGAGATGCATGTTCAGTGGCTTTGAACTCCCAACTACAGTAAGATAGTTGCAGACATTAGTCGCTGCAAATTCTGACATGTCTATACAAAATTTACTAGCTCCTTACTCTGAAGTTATTTATCTATCGACTTTTTCAGAAAAAAAAATACTTTAAACATGTATTTAAGTTAATATTTGGAGTTATTTTTGAAACATCTCAAAAGTAATGTGAACACTTTAGGAGAAGAACTATGAATGGGGGGAAAAAAAACCACACCAGAAATATGCATGAGAAATGGATTCATCTACCTCACATTAAAGTGAAATGAGACCCCAGAGAGATGATGCAACGTTCTCAGGCTTCTACATGTATTTTTAAAGGGGTATTTTAAAAATCAAACCAACCTTTCAAGATGATTCAGTATCCAGTCCATTACTGCTGTTTGCCCATTTACTTATACAGGTTCTGGTTAGCAGTAGAAGATCTGAAGAAGAGACCCATCCGTGAGGTTCCTGTTAGAGTACAGGAAATCTGGCAAGAATTCCTTGCCCCTGGAGCACCAAGTGCCATTAATCTAGACTCAAAAAGTTATGACAAAACCACACAGAATGTGAAGGAAGCAGGGCGATATACATTTGTCGATGCTCAGGTTGGTATAACTATTTTCACAGATATGTACCAGTGATGTCTTGATGGAGAAATAGAGCTGTGAAAAACCGTTTCCGACTTTACCATTCCTTTCCTAATATATTCTAGATCTGTATTTAACAAAGAGCGCTATATGTATGCAATATGCTAGAAATTCAGCTTAAATTCTGTTTTAATAACTTGCCCACTAATTAAAAATAGGCTTGTGCCAATAAATCCTAGATATAATTTCCCTGAATCAACAAATTTTTGTCTAATAATAAAGTTTCTTAATAAGCATATAATGTACTGTGGTTTATAGGCTAACCAAGTTCATTTACATTCTAAAAATAACATTCTAGCATATTGCATACATATTGCTATATGTATGCAATATGCTAGAAATTCAGCTTAAATTCTACTTTAATAACTTGCCCACTAATTAAAAATAGGCTTGTGCCAATAAATCCTAGATATAATTTCCCTGAATCAACAAATTTTTGTCTAATAATAAAGTTTCTTAATAAGCATATAATGTACTGTGGTTTATAGGCTAACCAAGTTCATTTACATTCTAAAAATACTATGTAAGTAATGTAAATATACTATAACTCTCTCCCCCCCCTTGCAGCTAGGTGCATATTGATTCTAACCAACAAGTTATTTATTTCTTTATTATTTATTTAATATAACTTATATGCCACCCTATCTCCATAGGACTCAGCGCGGCTCACAACAACTAAAACAAACCAATAAAAACATAAAATACCTACATAAACAAATATTAAAACCCATTAAAATAATCGAAAACCCCCTCAGTCCAGGCTAGGCGCCGCGAACAGCCATGTTTTTAATTCGCGGCGAAAGGTGCGGAGGTCAGGAGCCAGCTGGAGCCCCAGGGGGAGTTGATTCCAAAGGGTGGGCGCACCCACAGAGAAAGCTCTACCCCTGGGGGCCGCCAGCCGACATTGTCTAGCTGACGGTACCCGGAGCAGGCCCTCCCTGTGGGAACGCACCGGGCAATGGGAAGCTGTTGGTGGTTGCAGATGGTCCGCCAAGTATCCTGGGCCTAAGCCATGTAGAGCTTTATAGGTCATTACCAGCACCTTGAATCTCCTAAGCTCCTAAAGTTTTGGGAATGGCTGCAGAACTATTCCAAGCTAACTTTTAATGCAACAGAAGGTCAAAGTATGATGAAGGCAAAGTTATAGTAATGGAAGCCCTGCCTCTTTTTACAGATGATAGAGCTTGTGTCAAGAATCCACAGTGCTGTTTTTGTCACTTGCTTGCCTCATTCCCTCTGAGAATCCTTCTGACTAGGGAAGAGTTTGATTAAACTGAAATAATTCAATTTAATTTAAAATGAAACAACACTTTCTTTTTATCTTGACAAATGCTCTCTTTGGCTCAACATTACATAGGTCAGACCTGCCCTAATCTGATCCCTGAGGAAAGAAAGACCCTCGATTCCATTTGGTTGAAAGGAAAGGTTCTTTTACTAAAAAGATGTTGGCTACAGTAAAATCAGGCTAGCTCTGGGTTTCCCACGCTCAAATGATTCAGAAAGGTTTCCTTCATCCCAGGCCTCCCCCTGTGACTAGTCCGTCTTCAGCCAATTGGAACTCGCTGAAGTGGTTTGAGAAGGCTGAGATGTTTTGGGGTAATCAACATTCTTTCCCAGGGTGCCTGGTCTTGGATTTTGGTACAACTGGTTCTGGGCTTCTCTGATCTTTATCACCTGCCATTCCCACATCTCCCTGTTTCCCATCGTACATACACAGCTACATTGCCCATCTATCCTCCCCCACCATTCTAGTCTTTGATAGTAGGATGCCTGTGAGGTGCCAAGCCGAGCCTGGTAGACCTTACAACATATTAATCTGCAAAGAAACAAATTTTCTACAAAAAGTCAATTTTCATAGATGTTCTTTCAGCCAAAATATTACCTATTATTGAGCTTTGCAATAGCAAATTGTTCTGGAATTGTATTATATTGTTTTGGATTTGGTATGCTTATTTGGCACTGAAATTACCTATAAAATTTTTAGGCTGTTCTACCCCAAAATGTTACATGCACAAGAAACTGAGTACAAGGAAAAGGTAGGACCTGACTTCAAAATATAAAATCTGTAGTTTACTCACATAGCTTTCAGATACAAACTGAATAATTGTTTTATAGAAAGCAAGCTACTTAATTAATCCAAATCACCCTAAATCACTTTCACTAACAATTATTTATTTCCTCAAACGAATTGGAGAATCATACCCAAATTCAGTCTTCTTCAAGTGTATAAACTAAATCAACATAGTAGTGCATTTCCTAACTTTAGTAGTTGAACTTTAGGCAGCTGTCCAATGTCTTGAATTTTATCTTCAACTCACAATAAATTGGCCAGAGACATTGGCTGCAGCTGCCTGCATCTTACAGACAAGGCCCAGAAATGTAGGGTGACACAGATTATTTAAAAATGCATCTGAATTTTTCTACTTGCTAAAATCTATAGAGAAAATGCTAATAATTTTTCACACCACTAGATGGCTGTCTATATATGTATTTTCTATACCAACTGCCTTGTTGGTCTCCGGTAGGTTTGCATTAGTGGAAGTGATTGGATAGTGCAGTGTTTCTCAAACCTGACAACTTTAAGATGTGTGAACTTCAACTCTTGGAATTCCTCAGCCAGCATGTCAAGTTGTCAACTTGTCAAGTTTGAGAAACACTGTTCTATCTTTGTTTTTCTGAGATACAGCTTTGTGTTTAAGGCTGTGGGCTGATGTGAGCTGTGTGCTTGAGCACACTTATTTTAGTAGCTGTGTTATATGAAAAAATATCAGCTGGCAGCTGTCTAAACAGAAGTACTACTGTTTAAAATTGAAGAGGTCCTTTATGTACTTTTTATCCTGTTACACCTTTAAAGATTATAGAAATCCTCAAATGTTGACTTAGTGGGTGACTACTTGGAAGCAAGACTTTTCAGTAGCCATTTCCAAATTACACTATCATTTGTTATCTTTTCAGCACCAGGGAAATACTTAAAAAAAAAATCTCGTAGTCTTTTAATGCTTTGTAACTTTATCCTGCTGCTGAGCCTTTCCTTCCATTTTATTATATGATGTCTCTTTTAGTCTCTGTTTCTGTTACTGAATTATTTTATTTATTTTATAATTATATAATGCTCTGTATACTTACTCATTTCAAAGACTCCAAGAAACTTACAATACAATGACATTAAAAAGAGACCCATGGAACTAGAAACCCAAATGTACCAGCATCCAAAACCTCTACAAAATAAAATTGATTTTATCCACTTGAAAAAGGCTAAGGTTTTTTTTTTTTGAGGTGGGGTCAGCCACAGAGAGGATAACTTTGTTTCCTTCAGCCCTCATCGGTTGGGGACCTTTGGCGTCCCCCTGTGGGGATAACCACCTGGGGCATGTGATTGGGAAAAAATGCCTTGCCGTCACAGATTATTACTTTTTGATTTATACAAAATTTTATTTATATTTTTATGATGTGTATCACTTAGGATAACATTAGCTGTAGGACAAGTAAGTAATCCTAGAAATAAACAAATGTTTTTATAAGCCAAATGAACACTGTTTGTTTTGTTTTATTTATAAAATTTATAGGCCGCCCATCTTTTTTTTTTTTTTAATTTGATTTATATGCCGCCCTTCTCCAGAGACTCAGGGCGGCTTACAATGCATTAAGCAATAGCCTTCATACTTTTGTATATTTATACAAAGTCATCTTATTGCCCCCACAAATTGGGTCCTCATTTCACCTACCTTAGAAAGGATGGAAGGCTGAGTCAACCTTGAGCCTTGGAGAGATTCGAACCAGCAGTAAATTGCAGGTAGCTGTGTTAATAACAGGGTGCGTAGACCACTGTACTATCAAGGCTCTTTACCTCACAATAATTCTAGGTGGCTGACAATTATAAAGCTATATAAATTAAAAACATAAATAAGATAATACAAAGTCCAAAAGTCCAAAGTCCTGCTCAGGAAGTCCCCACCTTCCTGAGCAGTAAAAAATTCTAGGAACAAAAACTCTTCACCTCGGTTAGAAGAGGTTTATTTGTAATATTTGGTTTATTGGTAAGTGAAACACAGAACACTGAAAGTCTGTAACTGCTCAATGTCCTGCAATAGGGTTGCCGAAGAGAGGTTTCTGATGAGCCAACTTCCAATCAAACTTCTGCTCTGACTTGATCTTCTGTGTCACATTGTGTTGTCTCTCAGTCTGCTTTCAAAAAGCACTCACTTCTCTCTTTTTCTTTGTTTGCAAAGGATTCATTTGCTTCTCCCATATAGTTGCTCCTGTAGACGTGACAAAGATGTCAACAAAATATTCAGCATTATTAACTTTTCATTCATAATGCAATATGGCATCAGACCGAACTGATTGTGATGACCCCGACTCAGTGATCCAGCAAGAATCTCTTTTGCTTGTAGATTTTCCTTAAACAATCATTAGTTTGAGAATATCACAGAGCCAAAGTTCTTGAGTATCCTGACATTTTTGCACTAAATTTTACACTGGTATAAAATTAACTAAATCATGCAAATTAGATAAATGGCCATTCAAAGCCTCTTTTTGCTGAAACAAAACCCTTGTACACTAGTTTGTGCAGAAGACTCTCATAATGCTTGGATTGATGCCAAATCTTGTTAATTTCTTTAACTGAAAACCCTAAAGTTTACAACTTTATTAGAAATCATTTAGTAAGCACTGTATTAACAGAACCAGATTTCTATGCTACCCTAGGAATGAATTTCACATGTACATAATAATCTGCACTATTTCTCTGGTATCCTCTTTTTTATTTAAAAAAAATTACTTTCAAAAGATCAGATTTCAAAAGTGAAAACTTTTCTATATTCTTTTATTTTAGGAGCACATCTACAAGTTGATGAAAAGTGATTCATATCCACGGTTTATACGATCCAGTGCCTACCAGGAATTACTGCAGGCCAAGAAGAAGGTATTATTCCATCTTTTCTATGTATTTCTATTCTTTCAGCAGTGGTTCCCATCTATCGTTCTCTCTTTGGGTAAATGAGCTGTATATCTGGTAGGTGAAGAGTTTAGTTCAATCTGAGCATCCCATAATGATGGTGGGATCCATGCCTATATTTATTTTGCATCTTTGCATGAGCAAATTAATTTCATGTTGACATTTATTTTGTATCATTTTGAAAGTAATTGTAGGACTATAACTTAGGAAAACAGATAAGAGCAGGTCAAAACATTTTAGAAAGTTATATAAGTATAGTCGATGTAGTATGATTTCTTTACTTCACAGCAGATATAATTTAATTGTACAAAGTTACAAACACTGAATTTGTTTCATCTAAGCTTTTTTGTAGTCAAAGGTAAGTTCCACTAAGAACTCAAACCATACCTAATAAATGCATGAAATTTTAGAGCGATAAATCCTTGGTTACTGGGAATTCTGTTTTCTTCTTAGTCTTGTTCAGGATCTGTGTCTGGAAAAAAAAAAGAGTTCCAGTAGGATGGCCTCCTTAGAAAGATATGTTGTAGTCTATCAGCCGCCAGCCCCTCTAGTAGCTGAATCAGATGACGAGGAGGCGTGGGAGTCAGAGTCAGCATCAAGGCAATTTGAGAGCTCCAAGGGGGAAGAGGGAATGGAGTGTTACAGAGAGAGAGACAGAGGTGGAGCCTGGGCCGTTCATCAGCCCTCAGATGGAGAGTCAACAGTCTCCAGGTCTGGAGGTGGCTGATGAGGAAAAGGAGGAACAGCTGGGTCCAGTACCTGATGCCTGGATGTGTAGAAAGCAGAGGAAAGGAGAGCAGTGGAAATCTGTGGGCTGATCCTTGGGACAGAAGAGCCACTACTGCTAGCAAAGTCTCACCCTAGCTCTGGGGATAAAAGGCAGGGGGCAGAGATGAATAGATGTGTCAGACAACTATTCATCTACCTGCCAAACAGACTTGTTAGCCTGCAGTGAGAGAGAAACTTTTTGCCGAGGCTGCTGTCGCTCCTAATAAAGGAATCATTGATTTAACTTCAGAGGGTTAGTCGTGTTTGGGGAGCTGGGTCAGAACAGGTAGATAGTGACAGTAAGGAAGGAGAATACAATGAAAGAACAGTGAGCTTAATGTTCCCAAAATATAGCAATAACAAATAATTTTAAATGTGTACTTACAACACATTTAGGCTCTACTTTTTATATTTCTTCAAAATATTTATTATTACTATAATATTTGTTTATTATTTATTATTACTATGACTATTAATTTTGGACATCCGTGGATGTCACCTAGGATGTTATGGGCAGCATAGTACATACAGGCTCTGTGTTACTAATTATTTCTTTTACTACTATTGGGTGAACCCATCTACTGGGACGCTCATTTGTGTAAGCCCCTGTAAGGACATGGATGCACAGAGAGAACTTACTTGGGCTGTAGAGAATGGGTATGCATGGATAACCTGCTTCCACTGGTCTTACACACTACATGGAGATCTTAAAAAGAGGTTCAGTTAACTCTGATAATTTAGAGCTCATAATTATCAGATCTCTGGATTCAACATAATGTACTTATGTAGCTTGTTTCAGATCCTTGTGCTGAATGTATAAAGATCCAGTGGGGGGGAGGAATAGTGCAGAAACAATGGAGAGCAGGTTTAATGAATTTAATGAATAATGCTTGCATAGGAATGATTTGTTGTGTCAGTCTGTAAAGTTAGGAAGACAGAAGATAAGGAATCCAATAGTGCAAATTCATAATCCAGTTTTGTAGTTAGTTAATGTTCCTTCCCTTAAAAGGTTAAAAGCAATAGGAACCCCCCCCCCAAAAAAAATTAAACCATCCAAACAGCAAGTGTGAGAAGGCATCGCCTAGGAATACAATAAAAATAAACTCCCTTCCAAAACTTGCCTTGGCTCTGAGGACTAATAGCAATATGATGGGGCATCTTATTGGGCCTGTGGCAGCAGAGAAAAGAGATAACCAACTCTCTGTACATCAAGGTTCTGATCCACCTGTGCTATTTAGCATTTTAAAAGATACAAGGAACTTAAAGCAATGCATTGCCCTAACATTTAATGGCATGTGTTCTTTGAAAACTTTTTAAAATCAACACTCCTCCTTGCAGTTGAGATACAGTAAATAAATAGAGATTTTTCTTAAACAGAAGAGGGCTAGTCTTTTATTTTTTAAACAGTTTATGTTCTTTAGATTGTGTAAGTGGTCACGTAATTGGCAGAATGTGCAGGGCTCCTTGTCCTGTTTTAATTTCATGTTTTGTTTTGTATTATCCCAGTTTGACCGGCTTGGCAGTTGATTCTAAGCAAGCCTCAGATCTTGTACGTCAGTGCTGTTCTTCACCCAGTGAATCAGCACTGTCAAAGCTGACCCAGGCAGACATCCATGTAAGGGGGTGGGGGTGGGGGATGGATGAAGCATGGGACAACTGCTCTGGTTGCCAAGTGTGATTCTCTCTGCCCCGCCCCTTCCAGCTCCTCTGTGCTCCTCTGCATTCCTAAAACTACATTCAGGTGGGCAACCTATGCCCCTCTGTGCACTTTGATTCTCTGCCTCAGGAGAAAATTGTAGGGGAAAATATATTCCCCCTTCTATTTCTACGAGCATTTCATCTTCCGCACTTGCTTTTGTGTTGTGGGTTTCTTTTTATGACTTTTGTGTTTTAGCAACCCATTGCTTCATTGTGCTTTTATTTTCATGTTTTGTTTTGTTTTGTTTTGTTTTGCTTCTTTTGCTTTTGTTTCCCCTTTATGTTTTTTTTCTTTCACAAGTTGGGAAATACACTGGATCGCCGAACATCATTTGAGAAATTCACACGGAATGTGGTAAGTTTATAACCTCGTGAGCCTTATGATTGATAGATTGTCCTCTGATATTATGTGGGTTTTGTTGATGCTGACCTCAAGCTACCAGGCGATGTTACAAGTCAGGCCCTGCTAGAAATAGTTTAAACAGCAGGAGCAAAGAAGCTGTTTTACAATGCCACCTCGGTGCTGCCCCAGAAACCTTTTCTTTTAAGAAGAGAGAATATGACAACTAGAATGTTATTAGACTGGATCCATTTCGCCCTACATTTTCTTATCAAAGCCACCTTTAAAAAAAAAAATTAGACTCGGGTCTTTGGGTTTCTTTAACAATGTATGTGCCAATGCCTTTGGATTCACACTTTTCAACCTTTGCACCGGTTCAAACTAAAGCATTCAACACATTTATTTTTGTAGGGCAGAAACATCCCAATTTTTCCCTGCCATAAAAACTGTACACCAACACTGAGGGCGAGCACTAACCTGTTATGAAAAGAGGTAGAAAGATCTTGGCTTCTACTCCAGTTTGTTGACCTTGTCCGCCAAGTGGTGTGCATTCCTGTGCGCACATGTGGTGTGTGTGAGTGTGCATAAGTGTGCTGTATTGTGGCTTTTGCTGTTGCAGTCAGTTAACAAAACTGTGTGTACTGAAGTGATAATTTATGAAGACCATCAGCAAAGATCATGGTTTTTGTTTTCTGTGTCTTCATAAAACCAATTCCCTTAAAAATTTCTAAATAAGCAACATTTTAAATGTTTTTAATATAATGATAAGAACCCCATAGCAGACATAGTATATCTCTATTACGAACAGTATGATTTTAAGTACTTTGAATGCTTGCAAGGAAAATTAGGTTTTTGGAGAATGGGACTTAGAAATTGGATATTTAGGGGGAAAGAGTCGAACCTAACAGTAATAGAATGAAATATAAATTTAAGAATTTACTGCATTTGGGGTTTTGTAATCCTCTCATCCAAATCCTCTTATTTTTAAATAACCTTGGAGATTAAGAATTGTTTGAGAATTGTACCCCTGCTTGTTGGCCAAATAAACAACAACAAAAAATAGTGGAGAGTTTGAAACAAAAACCCCTATTTTTGCATGGTGGTTTCACCACAGCATGTTACATTGTGAATTCTGTTATTGTTTGAGAGCAAAAAGGACCTAGAAAAGCAGCACATTTGTAGATGTGTAACTGAACTCTCTATTATAACTATAAAATGATCTCCTTCAGGTCAAATTCAACCCTCGGTGGCTTGCTTATTGGCAGCAGTGCAGAGGTAACTTGCGCTATTTTAGGGATTATTTTTTTTGTTTCAATTCCCAATGTAACCTAGAGAAGGCAGCCTGTACTGGAACGTTGTGTTGTCTGAAGATCTCTAAGTACTAACCAGGTACAATTCTGTTTAGCTTCTGAATCACGACAAGTTCAGATGCTATCATCTGCTGAGAATTTCTAACTCGTGCAATCATTAAGCCCAAGTCTTAAACAGAAGATTGTCACCTCTGAACTCTGAAAAATATCCTCTTTGGCAATAGCTATGAGAGTTTTCAAAGCCATAACCACACATCCGCTGTGCCATTGTAACAAAACTTCCTGTATTTTTCCTTTCTTGCTAGCATATATGATCAAGTTTCAACAAACTCCAGGCATGGCTTGAGTCCATCTGAAATCTGAAAAATAGCTATTAATTCAGATGAGATTTACGGGAACTACTAAGAACAGGGTTTGGATGTCCAGTCTCCTCACCAGAAGTATAATTGGGATTTGATGAGATGTGACAGTAAGGATAGAAGAAAGGGGTAGGTTGTTGGGAGTTTTATATTAGCCAGTTCCTTTGCTTGTCAGGATGTGAGAACCAAATGTAAATTATGTATCTTTATGCTAGTGGAAGAACTAACACAATGAGAAATTCTAAAGATGGTAACTCCACCCACTTATTAAAATTAGTGTATCAAATGCATAAGCTCCAGCAGGTTTTCCTTATAGAATGTTTCCAGCAGTGGATCAACAGCAGACGTTCAGTGAGAGAGAAAGTATTGAGGTGTATGAAAAATGACCCTTCTAATACTATGTATGTCACTAGGAATTGTCTCCTTTTTAATTAACACAGTGTTTTCTTCCTTTAATCAATCTATTGATCATGAAGTTCTAAGAAACATGAGGAACATCAAATAACTAATTAGGTTTATAAAAACATTCCACTCAATGAAATGAATACCATTTTAATCTTATTGTCCTATTGTTTACTTTCCTTTGCAGATATACTTGTATTATATACACTGATGCCCATTCTCTGATTACTGGGCTTCTGTACAATTGGCTACTATTATAAAAACCAGATACAACTTTATCTGATGAGGCAATTTGGTAGATAGCATTACCAGCTGACATGGCATACTAACAGCAAAGGAATCTCCCTAGAGTTATCTTTTGGCATCACAAGATAATTTGAGTGTGGACGTGGTTTATTTCAGAATTTGTGAAATGGGTGTGATAGCTTCAAATATCTTGTTGATCTCAGTGTCAAGAAAGTATAGTTTAGTGTAATTATATATGAACTTAGAGTAGAAATTAGAAAAAGGAGAGTTATAGAAATTACCTGGATAATTTCCATTAGTGACTCTGAAACTATCGGGTTTTGGAACTGTAAAACCTCTGTGGTTTTGTAGAAATATATAAATTGGTGCTGCCCATTGCTTTCAGCTCTACATTCTACATCATATGAGAAATTCAAATGATTTTGTTTTTCTCATCATAACAACCATTTGCTATATCATTGAGATGTCATTAATACTTGGCATTATTGCTAATATATACAAGTGATAATCATCAAAAGAAAGGAAAGATCGGATCTGATGATTTTATAACAATGTAGAATTGATGTTGGGGGGATTATATGCATTTAATTATCATCATCAATATAAATGATGGATTGCATTTAAAACGTAAGCCATCTCAGCAATAGTGCATAGTGAATTAGCCATTTGATTGTTTCAACTCATTGCGTTAAAATTCAGGGTTTCATAATGAAGCTTAGATCTTCATTGCTGTCTTCAGAACATTGAACCTGACATTTGGACATTAACATCAGATAAAGGGAAATCTGAAAATGTGCAGGTGAAATTGGATGTTTTTTAGAATGTAATTTTAATGGCTTCCACCGGATGAAGTGTGAGAGTTCCAAGAAAGTGGTGGTTTTTCAATCAAGCCTGTGTTGATCAAAACAGGTCTATCTCCCCTGAGTTCTTTGCATTTGGTTCTGATTCCCTTGATGATGATTGGAAACTGGTTTGGTGAACCAATTCCAGTGAATCCCCTCCAGAGGTGGGATTCACATACCTTCCCTACCGGTTCACAAATGTGAGTGTGTGCTTTGCTTGCACAAGCCACCTCTGCGCATGTACACAGCCTTCTGCGCATGTGCAGTAGTCGTGCATTATGTCCAGGTGGAGTGGGCAGAGCCTCCCGCAGTCACTGCTACTGGTTCATGAGATCCGAACGGAACCAGCTGAATCCCACAACTGATCCTCTCATTTTAGGTGGTCTAAAGTTCCACCTATGCAGTTGTGCCTGAAATAACATGAATGTCTTGCTTGATACTGCAGCCACCAAGTGATATGCTGCTCATATCTGAAAGAACCCAAGGACAGGCAACCCATATTTAAGGTCACGATGTGAAAAATTGTTAGCCGGACAAGTAGGTGCTTGGTAATGAACTGGGTTTTCAGTGAACATGCCTCTGTCTTCTGTTTTCTTCTGTTTGTTTGTTTCTATCTTTTCCTCAGGGGAAATCGCTTACATCAAAGAGATTAACCAGTCTAGTGCAGTCCTACTAAAAGGATCATCTTGTAGCATGGAAGCAGACTCAGTCATTATACATACTTCGTAGCTCACTAATTGCCTGAAATCAGAGGACAATAGAACAAGATGTTGCATGAGCAAGGACCTGACCTGTTTTCTTTTGTGTATATCAAGGCATTACAGACTCCAAGGAACTCACTACTGTAATCTTTTGATGCCTCCATTTTGAAAAGTCTCTGCTCACTTTCGCCTTCATATCAAGCTGGATCTGTGTCTATTTATTTTCTGCAATTTCCAGTACAGTTTTTTTTTTAAAAAAGCTTCTGTTAGGCACAATTTATTTACAATGCTGTCATTCACAAACTGGAAGACATGTACAAAAAAAGAATATATTAATAAATATACCTAATATGGCATCACAGCTATTGCACAATAAATTAGCACAGAAGGTTCTGTCTCACAGATGTATTCACATCAAGAAAGAAAGTCTGTGTCTTTGTCCGTTGTCTGTAAATTCTGTTAATGTTTCTTGCATTTATTTTTATACCATATTTTAAGGGGGAAAAAAGAAATCCTTTTATTCCAAATGTATTAAAACTGATCTTTTCTCTGTAAATTTGTGTATGTTTATATTGTTGTTTTATCTTTCATTAAAATATGCAGAATCTCTTCTGTTTGGTAGACTTAAGCTTCTTGACTTGGTAGAAACACAAATGAAATAATTCAAAATATTTCATTTATTTCAGTGATGTTTAAAATGCCTGATTACAAGAGGACTGCGGAAAACTTAAGTTGATTATAAACAGGGAAAGAGGAGAGTGAGATTGATAAATTACATTAAAAAGTCTTCCCCTTCCCCATTATTCACATATTATTGGACCTTTATTTTCATTGGAATTCCAGTGTAATGTTCATTGTAAGGATTTTTTCATCCATGCCAGTGAGGTTAAGTATTGTAATGAACAGAAAAATGTTTAGATTCAGGATTTAGATATAGATGCTGTAAAACATTTGATGTAAAACATTTCTCAAGTCTTGGAAGTCTGAGATCCATAGGTTTTATTTAAGGACCCTCAAAGTTATCCAATTAGTGTTCTTCAAAGTCTAAATCTAAGCAAATTTATAAAAAGACAAAATAGATTCATTGTACATTAGGCTTTCTGTCACAATCCAGATGACGTCTTACTATGTGGCTTTCCATGTAATTTTACAGAGGAGCCTGACATCACGGTGTCTCTGTTGTAAGCCTATTGTCTTTTCCCACTTTTGCTTCCTTTTTTTATATTTATGTTACCAGAAAAATCCTAGTCAAGGTTCTTTTCATCAGTAATGTTGGCACTCTCAGTTACAGTTTTAGCAATGTCACCTGAAAAAACACATAAGCTAACTTGGAGGTACGGTAGGGGTATTTAACCCCAATAACTTTTGGCCATACATTCATTTTTTTCAATAATGGTCACACTAAACCTCATTCCTGAAAGGGATCACAGTAAGGAAGGCAGCTGTCAACAATATGATAAAAACACACGTAGTGACAATTATGGGGTTCTAGAACTGTAAACATCTGCCAGCATGGTGGGAGGAGAGACAAGTAACAAAATGTCTGTTGCGAAATAGAAACACAAACTCCATCCGTTATGTACTTGCATACAACATCCATGCAAATATGAAGGGTGGAACATGTGTTATGTCACACTGCTTGTTTCATCTTTTTGGCATTGCTATGGTTAGGAGTACATGTGTTTGTCTGGATTCAACTCCTTGTATCTTGGTCCACCAATTCACAGAATTAGGCCAACATCAGTTTTGTTTCCTTCATTTCATTTGCTTTGGAAAGCTGCTGCTCCTAGTATTTTATTATAAACATTACAGTGATAAGAATTGATTCAGCAACTGCTAAAAGGAAAGCCAGTTCAATTGCACAAGCAATCTAAGTGGTTAATTGGGCATTGCAAAAGTTATGCTTCAACACCACCTACAGCAGTATAAAGGATAATCTTATATTTGGACCACTGAAGTCCTGAACAGAACAGGAATGTCTTGTTCAAGATGTAAAGCATGAGGTTGACATCCCAAATCGCAAATGGAAATATTCTGTTAGTATACATTTGAATCTATTTCTGTCCTTATAATGTCCCCTTCTGGTGTCTTTACGTTAATCTCTCCCAAATGGTCTTGAAAGAGAGATGTTTTTCTTACCAAAGACTGTGTCTCTTAAAGCCTGCTGGATGAATTACAGAGGTTCTCTGCCAACAATGGTATGTGATAATTTCCAGATGTTCATACAATCAGTATAATCTGAAGTTCTCAGAATGCCAGCAAACAAATTGTATGAGTGGTCACTTAGGAGATTGTGGAGGGACACATTGTTAGAAAACAAAAACAAATTACTAGGAAAAGCTTAAAGAAAACCATCCATGACAAAACTCCTAAACTGATTTCACCCCACCCTCGAACTGTTTGCTAAGAAAATTCAAGGTTGCTGCTTCCAATTATTCTTTCATATTCAGATAATGTATAAATGTGACAATCATATTTGGGACAATGTTCATGATATGGACATTCAATAGAGAGCAATAATGCACAAGTTTTGGGGTCATCCATATACCCAAAGTAACAATCTTAGATTAGTTGGTATATAATGCATAAAAGGAGAAATCTTTTATTGTGAATGTGCTGTACAATTTCCAAATATATTGAATACATCTGAAGTAATATTAGGATCCTGAGCATAAGGGCAGAGCTCCTATTCCTCAAACATTGTGGAGTTCTTGGTTTTATAGGAAATCCACTGATAGTGTATCTAGCCCCACAAGTTTCTCTCCCCCTTTTGGGCTTTCCTGCTGTTGATCAGCAGGATGATGTTTTCCCTTGACCAATAGCAGAAAAGCAGTTTTGGAGTCTCAGTAAGCTTTTATTTCTTTAGACACCAGACTTTTATATCAGACCAGTTTGCAGTCAAAGCTTTCTCCATAAGAGTTTGGTTATTTTTCTTTTTTACCCTCGTGTCAGAGAAAGTGACTTGTGAAAGTGCAAACAGTGCCATTTCCACCATCCTCTGATCCTTTTGCCAGATCATTCTGAATTTGCTCACATTATTAATCCATTCTTTAATATTTCGTTTGTTTCCTGTACAACATACAGTACTTTCCATTCACATTTTTTGACATTTTTATTTGCCTGAGGTGAGGGAAAGATTAGGGGGGGGGGTTGTCTTTAAAATGAAGTTAAATTTACCCAAATTGCAAATCAAAGGGGGGGGCTCTCATGGCACCAACCAACCCGACTGTGTGGGGTTCTATTAGGGCCAATATTTTATTCCTAGCACATTGACTATTGTGATTTAGTTACTTTATGTCCTGGAGAATTTATTGTAGTTTTAATAGAAAACATTTTCCCCCCAAAAGTTACAGTACAACTTTCATCCATCAGTTTGAAGTTTAGATTATTTCAAATGCATTCAGCTTTTGCAAAATCACAGCTTCAGGAGGGTTTTTCGGGTGTAAATATACTCACTGGTACATAAATTTACACATGGCATGCACAATGGTGAACAAAATTTCTGACTGGTAAATTGCTATTTCTGGCCTCCCACTTTAAAACCATTTTGAATCAATATACAGTAAGGGTTAACTCAAAACAGGTATTGTTTTTCTCTCCCTATGCATTTTTCTCCCTATCATCTAAGGAAGAAACAAAACCATCCTCTCAACATGTGACAGGCTCTCTCTTGGACTAATGTTGCACCTTCTCAATCATCAGCAAGCTGTTCTGCTGATTAATAATACTGTCCTACTGGGATCAATCTCTGTGTTCACAACTCATAGTAAAGTTCCTATAATGACTCCCACTGTGAAAGTGTGAAAGCCATCTCAAAAATACTGCAGCTTTTTGTAACCTCCTGCAAGCAGAGTGTACATATATACACGTGAGTGAACCCATGGAGATTCAAGTGACAAGATGGAAACATTCAGAAACAGAACCCAATGGTTGCAGGAGATAAACTGATGCTGGTAAACAGTCCCAACATATTAAATGCTACAGACTCCTGCATGTCTTGTTCCCAAAGACATAATGGAAGTCTGCCCTGGGCTTGGATCCACTTTTTGTACTCTGCCATAGCCTCTAACGTAGAAATTCAAGAGGCTGAGATCACATAACCTATTAAGCCCTAAATCAAGGCAACCGCATTATGGCATGATTCCCACATTATTAAGGCATAACGTGGGTTTGGCTTTAGCATGTGGAATGAACTCAGCCTCTGCAGTTGCAAATCATTGTTTTGGCTTTACGGGGGAAAGGGGGTATGGCTCAGCATATTATGTAAGCCAATTCTATGGTGTAAATCAATGTTTTTCAACCTTGACAACTTTCAGAAGTGTGGTCTTCTAGTCCTGAAATTCTGGGAGTTGGACTACCCCCTTGAAGTTGTTAAGGGATGATGCAAGGGGGGAGAGAGAGAGTTGGGGAGAGGGAGGGATGGAGGAAGTGTGTGAGTGTATATATGTTTGGTCTAGTGGTTAAGGCATCAGGCTATAAACTACTCCTACCTTAGATATGAAAACCAGTTGGGTGTCTTTATGCTGGTCACTCTTTCTCAGCCCAATTCACCTCACAGGGTTGTTGCTTTAGGGAAAATATGAGAAAGAAGGAGTATTAGACATTTTCACTACCTCAAGTTGTCTGTAAAAATTGTAACAGTGGAATATACAGTAAATAAAAATACATAATATGTTATTTTTCTGCCTCCCACTCTCTTCTGTAGGTGGAATAAAGTTAGAAGTCGCACACTGATTTTAATGCAAGTGGAGTTGCTGAAGTAGCTATAAATTCTACACAAAATAAAATGGTATGGGGTTCAATCATTGCTTAAGGACAGGCGCTCTGCTTATGCTTGGGGGCATGTTTCAGGATTGAATCCTAGCAGGCAAAACACATTGAGGACTCATCCCATGGTAACTGTGGCTCATTTTAAGCCTTGAAATTACCTATTGAAGCTGTTGTGGAAATTAGTTCCCACATTCAGCTTATCAAGTTGAATGTTTATTCATCAAATAGGGAATTCAGATATCCTTTTCCTTTCATGACTGGGAAAAAGGTAAAAAGTAAAGCTCGATACAGATTCTGAGGAGAGAAAATGGAGTTTGCTTGGATAACTTCATTTTTGTGGACTTCATCATGATTTTTTAAAATTTTTGTGATCATTCAGAAATCATTTCCAAGTTAATAAGTCTACTCTTCATTAAAGCAGCCCAATTCTATGCAAACTTCCACATATAAAAGAAAAAGCACAGAAGGAAACTCTTAATGCAGCCACATAGAGAAGTCTTGAAAAAAGCTGTTTTCATAAATGGAGGGGATTTTCTGCACTCACATGAGGCCTGGAGAAACAACAAATAATCATAAACCAGAGTTCTTTTTCTAAGCCAGCTTCGAAGTGTATACTTTTCTACCCTTAGCCAGAAGTGGATCACTCCAGCAGATGGCAGCATTGGGTTTAACTTCATCAGGAATGTCTTAAAATTTTCCCCACAGAAAACACAAGTTGACAGACATTCTTCGAACTATGTGACAGGAGCCACCACTGAAGAAGATTACCTGTTTCTCACATTTGTCTTTGTTCTAACTGACAAAGTAGTAGGCAAGTGGTATGAAGATATGCAGAAGAA